AGAGCACTTAAGTAAAAGTTGTAATTTTAATTCTCGGTTGAAAAGCCTAAGTACTCAAAACGATAACTTTTATTTGTATGAGTCAATAGAAAAAAAGCTTATTAACTTACATGTTTTCCTTCACTTTCAATGGCAGAAGATAAACAATTCAAGAAAACTGAAATAAAAGAAAACAACAACAGCAACAGTGTTAATAGTAATACTGAACAACTCAATATATACTCTAATTCACTTTTAATCTGTGAGGATTTTATGTTGATGTAGTAATGTGATCCAGAGTGAGACAATGTACTCATGAAAATAATGAATATAAATGTAGACTATATATGTATTGAAGACAATGAAATTTTTAATTAAAGTTTTTCATTACTTTGAAACCAAATGATGATTTTAAAAAATAGTCATAAGTGATGTACACTAGGTGGCACACTGCATTTGTCATGAAAGCTCATGAATGTTATGGATTTTGTCTGTGTTATATTGCTATTAAACTGTATTCCACATTATAACAGTGAACATGGTTAGTAATGAAATAGAATTTAAATATTCAAATAAAAATCTCAAAATCCATAAAAATACATCACTCTTGGTCAAAAAAATGAATGAACCTCTAAATTTACAAGAATGGGATTAAAATTGATAATTGATAATGTTGAATACTGAAAATAATCATATAACAAACCCTCTCATCTAAGCCTCCTTTTATAGCAATAATTGATGTTAATCTGTGAAATGCTGAAAGGTTGTCGTATTTGTTTTTCATCAGAATACTGTAAGATGCGGCTAATGCTGGAATGATGGTTTCCTTTATCACATTACTGGCAGGGACTGCTACAGCTAACATGGCCTTTACTAATAATGGTACCCTGAAAAAATTATTTCATCATTGTCATGTTTGAAGATATTGTCTCAATCACTCAAGTGTTGAAAAATTATATTCTTGTTAGATACTGGACGCATCTCAGATGAGTAGATCTAGCTAGAAATCTCCAGTTTTCAAAGTGCTTGGACTGACGGGTTAGTGACACAAAAATTTATGAGCAAAAATTGCACACCATGCAGTTATGTTACAAAGGTAACCTCTGTAACATAACTGCTTGGTGTGCAATTTAGGTAGCAAGCACACTGCATAGAGTATGTAAGGAGAGTGCGTTTCAGGAATAATATGAACTGAAAGAAACAGATCAGAGGTTTTCTACAAGGACAAGAAAAGATCAGAATAGGTGCTTCATTTCTGATACTTAGATGATGTGTAACACTGATTTAAGAGCAGATGATACATCATTTTTTTCTTTGGAGGAGACTTAAAATCATGTCACAGGTTTATGTTTAAAAATGAAACAGACTTACTTAATACTTCAATAAAATTATAAATACAGACAATCACACTCAGTAAAGGTTCACAGGTGAAAACAAATTTCAGTATATGTAAGCTTGGTGCTAAAAGTGTAATATAAACTTTAAAACAATATACCAAGCCAGGTGAATTTCTTTTAGGAAAAGCAAAATGGTAAAAATCAGCCTATGTGATTTTCATTTTGTGTTTTCTCATAAAATTTACCTTGCTTGATATATCTTTGTAAAGTAATCAATTTATTATATGTGAACTGACATAAACATTTAAATGAAATATTTAAAATGAGTAGTATATTGAAACAAACATGAAAACATACACACCTATTGATCATCTCCTCCACAATCTCCTCTGTAAAATTACCAACATGGTCTTCTAACTTGGAAACATCTCTGTATTTATACAATACAGATCCAAAAGTTGCAGTTCTTGACGTAAGCGTAGAAGAAAGAGAACGTAATTCACAGAGCATCTCATTTGAAGAAATGTAAGAGAAAATGTTGGACAATTTATCCAGGGTCTTCTTACTCCCTGTGTTGTCTGGGAAAGCTTTGGCCTGCTTTGCCATGCTGTACCTGTGTTTATTATTACAATTTTTGTTTTAAAAACCTATTATGATTACATTGAGTACACAAATGTCAAACATAACTGAATCAGTAATATACTGTAATAAGCTATATAAGGCCAAATTAATTGTGTAAAAATGTGTACCTGTTTATACTGTCTTTGAGTTAATTTTATTGTTATTGCTAATTGCTATACATATCGAAGTTAACCATGGTTAACTATTCCTACGTACTATATTCCTTGCTTGCAGGATCCGCAGACTAATAACATCTTGCTAATAAAAAAAAAATAATTAAGAAACAGTAACATGTACATACCCATGGTCATTTATAATCGGCAAGACTGGCTCCACTTTATCTGGTACAGGTTCAACTGGTTCCAGTCTTAACTGCTTTCTACTCTTCGACACAGAAATATCCTTGGACGCCACAGGATTGAGGGTTTTCAATTTTGGGGTCAAAGGCGAGGAAGCACATCTTTTCACTCTAACTGATCCTTCTTCCAAATATTTGGAAGTACAATTTCTAATATCTTGTAAATATTCGTGTACGTTTGTGATTTTGGAATAGCAGTTTCTGCATATAGTTGTTGGAATTACGCGGAGTTGGTTTATATAATTAACGTTATCGAGGAGAAGTGAAAGTTTACTAATAAAATTTTCTTCTTTTGCTTTCTTGCTTTCTAAATTATAGTTTCTGGAGTTCTCATTTCTACAAATAAAACACACGACCTCCCTTTTCACCGGTGTCACCATCTTTAATATCATGTGACTTTTTGAAAGTCACGTGGATCGAAAGTAGTCGCGAAGTTAAGTGAGCCAATAACAGAGGTGAATGTATGAGCCGATGGTAGAGAGTGGAAGTTTGGATGCTGCAAAGCTAAAAAGTGGTTTTTTTTTCTTGATTTCTCTAAATAATATTTATTTTATCTTTGCTTAAATTATCAGACAGAGTGTATTTTGTCTTTACAGTATTTTTTCTTTTGTGTATCTTTTTTCTCTAATTTTTAATTAAAAGAAAATATGAAGTTAATGTTATTTATGTATGGTTTGAGCATTTATAAATGCCTTTTTATTTGTCCTGATAGGGAAAAATATAAAAATTAAACAAAAAAAAAAAAAAAAAAAAAACAAGAAACATTAAGTAGAAATGAAGCACAAGAAGTGCCAACTTTGAAAGCGTATTGTAAAAATTCTAGACATAGAATCTCAAATCGCCACATACAATCGATAGTTTAGTGTTTGATCTTTTAATTAATTGTACTCTGGTGCTTGCACTTTTTGATTAAAGGTAGGCACGAGGCGTTTGAAAATAACCTGTGTTATCCTCTGAATTCAGAAGATAAACTATCCGACATTGCGTTGCGATTTCCATATATGGTAAAAAATTTGGTTGCCATATTGAATCTAGCTATCCTCCAAAAACGGAGGCCGCCCAGACCTGATTAAGTAATCAAAGTACTGAAAGCACTCATGTGAGTTGAACATGGTGTAAATAAAATCTTTGATCGGGAGGTTAAGTAAGTGAACAATATTACATGTATTAATTAAGGTCTTCCGTTTCCAACGGAAGACCTTCTACTGATTCTGTTGGTAAAGATTATTAGGGTCTTCCGCTTCCTTCGGAAGACCCTACTGTTATTCTATTGTTTCTTATTATTCTTTTTTTTTTCCCGCTCGATTTTTTACAGGCGATTTCTCAAAGACCTTTGGACTGATCGTTATGAAACTTTCAGGATAGATAGCTTGTAGTTAAACCTATTTAAACCTGTTTTCAGTTTTTTGATGCATGCCTTTATTTGTGAGTTATTGCCCTTTAATTGAAAATTTTTGATGTCTCGTTTCCACTGAAAATCTCAAAAATGACATAAGATATTTACACGAAAGTTGGAGAACTTGTAGCCAATACATTGTAGATGTGCACAACGATAAAATTATATAGCTGATTTCTTAAAGTTTGGAAGCTATAAAAGGGCAAATTTTAGTAATTTTTTTTCTTTGAATTTTTGCTACTTTTTGTGTAATAACTTTTAAACCGAGAATAATTTGGTAAGAAATATATCACAAAAGTTGTGGGTAATTACGAGAGCTTTCATATTTGATTAACGAAAAGGGGCGGGCCCCTATAATTAGGGGTTAATAGCTCATACACGCTTTTTTCTGATAGCTAAAAATATTGGTATATTATGAAAAAGTTTGACTGAAATAATTTCGAACTTATAAAATCTTGTCATTTGATATAAAAAGAAATAAACTTCCAGCTATATTTAATTGTTTTTTATATAAAACAAGTACATGTATGTGAGAAACCTTTCAGGAACAAGTTGTCTACTATAGCCAGCCAAGCCTTTACTGCATACATGTGCACATTTTTAGTTGATGCATCTAAAAGATATAGTTTTGATTCGGTGTTTCTTTGTTTTCTTTTTATTCAAATAATTTTAAAATGTGATGATGTACACAACAATAACTAGAGCAAAGCTCGTTGCAAAGCAACGAGTGGGTCTTCCTTCCTAGCGATAAGCAAAAGATTAAATGTTTCTGTCTAGATTGTCAACTTTGCTAACATTCTCTTTTTCGATTTGTCTCAAAAACCCTTACTTGAATTCTTTAATTTGGTGTGAGCATGAGGTCTAAAGGGTACTCTCTCTAACAGCATTCTTGAAATCGTATCCACAACAGTTTAACTTCCAATATTATGACTTTTGATATCGGATATATCATGTTTGTTGCAATTATGTTTGTGAAACGTGTCATACTACAGAAACATAAGTGTTTTGCTGCATTACCATCTTAAAAATGACTTTAAAATCATTTAATATACAATATAACTATTTAAATAAAATAAACAAATTATATAATAATTCAAAAAATCCAAATGTATTTACAATAATGATGAACAATCTTCATTAGTTGCAATCAGTAAGTAGAACAATACTTTTATAATAAACGCACAGAAATGTGTTGTGTATGTTTCGAATTTGAAGCTTTCCACTAGCAACTGGTGGTACCTCAATAGGAGTGTAAAATTCTCTGAAAGGTATATTGTGAACATATTACCTATGGCTGTGTATTCTTTTTTAGCGGCTTTGGCGGAATGCAGCCATCACTAAATCAAGTACAAAGCTAAAAGTCTTGTACATAAACATAAATAAGAATATCTACGCTAACTTATTCAAAAGTCAATTTCCACCAAATATTGTACAAGCTAAATATAATACATTTACAGCATTAAAGAAACAAATCTCTTTGAAGGTATTGCCCTGCATAAGAACAATTTGAAGCCCCTACACTAAGGATGCTCTGTGCCAAGTTTCACTTTGGTTCTGGAAAATGATGTTGTGAAATTTTAGACAATGATGATAATGGATAAAATTATGTTTTTAAAAAATTTACTGGTTCCTTTAGCTCAGATGGGCTAATAAGTATGCAACAGGCTCAGTTTTGGAGTTGACATTGAAATGCGACTGGACATCTCTTCAATCTTGTTTTAGAAAACTACATGTACATGCCCTATGTACTGAATTCCTTGGAATCATACACATGTTTATGCCTTTAATTAGTTGTATGTGCCAAAATAACAATTTTTTTTACATTATACTGTAAAAAATACACATACATGTATTACAAGATCTTATATTCCTGCTGAAGACAGAGGATCTATCTTAATCATTAGAATAAGTAAGTCTAAACTTTGAAAGGGAAGACCTTAATAAAGAGGTCAACATGCTACACAAACAAAATATTATTATATTTAAAAATAACATTTATTCCAATGTAATTACTGGTACATGTATTTCTGTTACAAAAACTATTTCACTTGAAAAACTGAGAGCAATTGATATGTTCATATTTGTGGATTTATGTTGTCAAATCAAAATTTAAAAATGATACACAGTGTGTTTTAAAATTGTCTTCACAAACCAAAACTTGACTTATTTTCACTATGCTGTTTATTCCATGTCACATCCAAACAGATGATCTTCTGGCAAATCATGGTCATGCTTGGTATCAAAATTCAGTATTCAGATGAGTCACACCTATCCAAAAGAAATTGAAATTTTTTAATTTATAATTCTTTTACTAATAAAAAGTGCAATTCATGAGATTATAAATTAGATTATCAAATTGAGAGATAAGATATTGTCACATTTTCTGTGTATAATTTGTAAATTTTAATGTACTCTTTCATCAATTAAAAGAAGTTTACACCAATTAAGGCAGTCATTTATGCTATCCCCTAATAAGACAACATACAAGTGCAAAGTAATAATGCACTAGCGGGTTTAGGATAATGTGCTAGAGTATTTATGACAACATACTAGCACGAGGTGACAATGTGCTAGCATGTACGTCAGTGATAATATGCCAGCACACTGAATCCAACATGCAGTGAAGCTAACACTCAACAGATTGTTTAGAGTTGTGTTTGCATGATATTTTGTTTTGTGTAAACACAGCAGCGTGTTGTTTAAAGCTGCATTGGAGTGGCAGTCTGTTGAAATTAACATGCTAACACACTGCAACTTCACATCATTGGAACACCATAATTTTAAAACTGGCAAACCAATATCTTATGATTACTAACTAGGTAATTGCAACTGTAAATGCTGATTTCATGGTGACAATAATACCGGTAATTCACTGTATATCTGAGAACTGATCAATTATAATAAGGCGTGTCCAGATAGGGCCACTTGCTAAAGCTCAATAGCACTTTCATAAAAGCGTGCCATCTTACCGACACAAAAGACGCCATTAGGCTATCACACAGCTCGCCATCACAACACTGAAAAACACTTTCGCACTAACACAAGTTCGCACCACACGCTGTCACACTAACACACAACACACTGTCACCCTAATACAATTTCACACAACAAAATATCAGGCTAACACGAGTTCACACAACACACTATCATGCTAACACAAATTCACAAACACGCTGTCTCGCTAACACAAGTTCACACAACACGCTGTCTTGCTAACACAAGTTTTACACAACACGCAGTCTCGCTAATACGAGTTCATACAACACACTGTCTAGCTAACACAAGTACACGCAACACACTGTCACGCTTAGATGAATTCACACAACACACTGTCACGCTAACATGAGTTTACACAACACGCAGTCTCACTAACACGAGTTTACACAATACACTGTCACGCTAACACGAGTTTACACAATACACTGTCACGCTAACACAAAGTCACAAAACAGGCTGTCTCACTATTCACTAACACAAGTTCGCACCAAATGCTGTTGCGATAACACACTGTCATCCTAATACCATTTCACACAACACACTGTCATTCTAATACCATTTCACACAACACACTGTCAGGCTAACACGAGTTCACACAACACACTGTCACGCTAACACGAATTCACAAAACAGGCTGTCTCACTATTCACTAACACAAGTTCGCACCAAACGCTGTTGCGATAACACACTGTCATCCTAATACCATTTCACACAACACACTGTCATCCTAATACCATTTCACACAACACACTGTCAGGCTAACACGAGTTCACACAACACACTGTCACGCTAACACAAATTCAAAAAACATGCAATATCGCTAACACGAGTTCACATAACACGCAGTCTGGCTAACACGAGTTCGACACACAACATGCAATCTCGCTAACACGAGTTCACACAACACACTATCTCTCTAACACCAGTTCACACGACAAATTTTCAGGATAACAAGTTCACACAACACACTGTCACGCTAACACGAATTCACACAACATGCTGTCTCGTTAATAAGAGTTCACACAACACGCTGTCTCTCTAACATGAGTTTACACAACACGCAGTCTCGCTAACACGAGTTTACACAACACGCAGTCTCACTAACACGAGTTTACACAACACGAAGTCTCGCTAATACGAGTTCAATCAACACTCTGTCTAGCTAACACGAGTTTACACAACACACTGTCACACTTACACTTTATACACGATTTCACACAACACGCTGTCCCGCTAACACGAGTTTACACAACACATCGTCAAGCTAACAAGAATTCACACAACCCACTGTCAGGCTAACACAATTAAGTTCACAAAACACACTGCCTTGCTAACACAAATTCATACAACACACTGTCTCGCTAACACAAGTTCACACAACACACTCACATTGCTGAGTTTAAAGTAAAGGTCTACCCTAATTTGAAGAGGTTTAACACTAACATATCTCTATATTAGTAAAGAGCTTCAAATTTAAGACAAAAACATTTATGCAGTAATGTTCCTTAACATGCATCTGGCATATAAAATGAATGAGACCTTAAAAACCTCACAGTACATGTTTACTTAGCTAAGTAAAGGTCTAAATTGATGCTATTCAACAATATATATCAACATCTCTAAGTATGTGAATGAGTGAAATTCTCAAATAAATATTATAAATCAAAGTATCAATAAGAAGCTGAACCTTACGTCGCAGGTTCCAATCCCATTGCTAAATGCTTTAGACAGTTTACTCCTATGAGACTGCATAAACCAAGATTCTGTGTCACGGTAGGTGTTAGCACAAAATGGATCTCATACTTCTTAAAGGCAATAAGTGCTGAGTACAAGTCTATATTTGCAGCTAATACCATCCCAAGTGGTGGCACCATGAAATGACTGAAAAATGTATGATTAAGGCAAATAAACAAACATTAAACCATTACAGCAGTCTTATCAAACAAAAAAGCAAACTTTCTATTATTACAATTTTTTTCAACAAATTTCTTTTGCAATTTAACTGAGCAATATTTGTCCTTTTTTGTCAGTAAAGTATGATATTAAATAATTAAGACTTTTTGAGAACATCTATTTATAGCGAGTCCAGACAGCAGCACAAATCCCTGCCCATAATGCGAGCTCTTATGATAAGACCTTGGCAAAAGAAGATTGTGACTTGCACATTGCTCCACACAATTTTTCCGCAGTATACTTTGGACCCACAGTGCTTAGCTTCTTTAACATGTTTAAGCTACATTCAAAATTCATTTCTATTTAATTTGAATTAGCTATCCTTACTCATGTTCACATGGAGCTAATGGGAAGTAATTTAACGAGCAGTGAATTCATTCGAATTAAACATTTGAATAAACTCTCAGTGTGAACACTGAGCATGGATGCACCAAATGTCAAATGCGGCTTGACAAGCACAATCTAAATTAAAACTAAATAAGTATCTGCCCTCACCCTTACAGTCACACTGTCAATATATAATTAGTTGAATATATTCTGTAACATTAAGTGCAGTTTGAATTATAGAGTATGATCACTATGATAGATAGTAGGACTGTTGAAATTACATCCTCAAATTTAAAAAAATAAAATATAAAGCTGTGGGGATTTACAAGGTAAACAGAGAGCGTCTGAACTGTAAAACAGATAATATATCGGTGTGTCTGTGTATTTTTAATAACATCAATGTATGTCACTGTCATGTAATCAGTAGTGTAAATTTTAAGTAATAAAAATATTCTAACCTTCATTCGAATGGTCCAAGCCAATCATACATTAAAATGTCACCGTCAGCTCTTTCATCACACGATACAATTATCACTGGGGAATCCGAAGCAGAGTCAAGAGTGTTCATCCTTGTTAATGTGACAGTCAGAATTTCCTCGTAAACAATTCACACAAGATTCTTAGAATATATGAATCGGCATAATTCTGCTTAGAATAATGTTCCAGAGAAGTGACAAAGTACTTCGTAGCTGCAGATTAAATGAGTGTACATGTCTACAAACGGATTCTTTGTGAGAAAATGTTCAACTTCACAAATCATTCTATTTTCAGTTTGTAAACCATGGCAAGGGGGAATTCAAGCAACTATTAATCCAGAGAGCCAGATTAGATATCAGAAAACATAACTTCACCCTGAGAGCTGCTAAGATCTGGAACAGTCTACCAGAGGATGTTATAAGTGCGAAGACTACTAATTCTTTCAAGCAACGTTTGGATAAACACTGGGAAAATCAAGACATTTTATATGACTATAAGGCTACAATATCCGGAAGTCACGTAGTGAGTTATACTAAAACTGAAGTAGGATATAGGGAGTCCAATGAAGAGGATCCTTAGGGAGCCTGAATTGGAAACCAACGATAAGTAACGATAAGTAGTAAGCAAACATGTGTCCGACGTCGACTCCAAGGGGCACACTAAAAACGGGATATACTAGAGACCTGATATTTACCTGACGTTTTAATTTTTAATTAAATGGTAATATTGAGTATTTTAAATTACTTATGTACAGACTTTATGACTTCGAGGCATATGCTATACAAAAATTCAATTGTTTGGAACATTTACAGACAAATTTGAATCAGGTCAAATCAGTGTTTAGTACATCGCGTCTTTAGTACCTTCCTATTTCCCACAATGCCGCGCGTTGTTTACAAACAAGCGCGAAAAAATCCTCTAAACTAGGTACTAATTATTGTTGTGTACATCATCACATTTTAAAATTATTTGAATAAAAAGAAAACAAAGAAAACCGAATCAAAACTATATCTTTTAGATGCATCAACTAAAAATGTGCACATGTATGCAGTAAAGGCTTGACTGGCTATAGTAGACAACTTGTTCCTGAAAGGTTTCTCACATACATGTACTTGTTTTATAAAAAAAAAACAATTAGATATAGCTTGAAGTTTATTTCTTTTTATATCAAATGACAAGATTTTATAAGTTCGAAATTATTTCAGTCAAACTTTTTCATAATATAACAATATTTTTAGCTATCAGAAAAAAACGAGTATGAGCTATTAACCCCTAATTATAGGGGCCAGCCCCTTTTCGTTAATCAAATATGAAAGCTCTCGTAATTACCCCCAACTTTTGTGATATATTTCTTACCAAATTATTCTCGGTTTAAAAGTTATTACACAAAAAGTAGCAAAAATTCAAAGAAAAAAAATTACTAAAATTTGCCGTTTTATAGCTTCCAAACTTTAAGAAATCAGCTATATAATTTTATCGTTGTGCACATCTACAATGTATTGGCTACAAGTTCTCCAACTTTCGTGTAAATATCTTATGTCATTTTTGAGATTTTCAGTGGAAACGAGACATCAAAAATTTTCAATTAAAGGGCAATAACTCACAAATAAAGGCAAGCATAAAAAAACTGAAAACAGGTTTAAATAGGTTTAAATACAAGCTATCTATCCTGAAAGTTTCATAACGATCAGTCCAAAGGTCTTTGAGAAATCGCCTGTCAAAAGTCGAGCGGGAAAAAAAAGAATAATAAGAAACAATAGAATAACAGTAGGGTCTTCCGAAGGAAGCGGAAGACCCTAATTAGTACCTAGTTTAGAGGATTTTTTTCGCGCTTGTTTGTAAACAACGCGCGGCATTGTGGGAAATAGGAATGTACTAAAGACGCGATGTACTAAACACTGATTTGACCTGATTCAAATTTGTCTGTAAATGTTCCAAACAATTGAATTTTTGTATAGCATATGCCTCGAAGTCATAAAGTCTGTACATAAGTAATTTAAAATACTCAATATTACCATTTAATTAAAAATTAAAACGTCAGGTAAATATCAGGTCTTAAGTATATCCCGTTTTTAGTGTGCCCCTCCGAGTCGACGTCGGACACCAATCTCCCATGCAGAGTTGTCGTTCGTTCCTCTCTCAGACAGAATGTATGAGCCGATGGTAGAGAGTGGTCGGACACGTGTTTGCCATGGTTTACAAACTGAAAATAGAATGATTTGTGAAGTTGAACATTTTCTCACAAAGAATCCGTTTGTAGACATGCACACTCATGTAATCTGCAGCTACGAAGTACTTTGTCACGAGTGTTGGTAAAATGGGTAGGCAAACCCGGGCCGGGGCAAATTAAAAGCCGGGGCAGATCGAGGTTTTTCATATTTCCGTCTTCATACTCTATCGATCGAGCTGAAATTTTCAGAATGTATTTGATACATGATTATTTATATTCGCTGCTAAAATTGCCATGAAATACTTTATATTGGAGATTTTATCGGCGATTATTGATTTTCAAGTTGGTAAAATGGGTAGGCAGTTTCCCAAGTTCATAATTTACGTTTTCAGACATATGCTGCCAAAAGTCCATATAGTTATGAATAATTTTGGTGTTTAAGAATATGTATTAACTATAAATTTATATTTCTTCATTGGTTATTGCAATATTTACGTGAAATTACATGTTTTAAGAAAAACCGGGTCATTAAAACCGGATCCGATCACCCGGGAAAAAAACTGAAAATTCCGGAATAATTGTATAGGTTTACTCTATTTTAGTTGAGATTATTTGTCATCTGACAAGTGTCAGGCTCTTTTGAGAATACCTCCATGTGGTTAGAGTTGGACAATGTAACAAATGTAATAGCTAACATCCTTCAATGCAAACAATTTGCCTTCATTATTTCGGAATTCTCGGGTTTGCCCCGGGTGATCGGATCCGGTTTTAATGCCCCGGCTTTTCTGAAAATGCGCAAATTCTGCATACTTATAGCTTTTATAATGTAAAACTAATTATATATCTTTTATATAGAGTGTAAAATATTGGAAAAGTCCACAATTGTAATGGTTTAATGAGTCTTTATTTAAAAAAAACGTGAAATGTATTGATTTTGCCTATCCATTTTACCAACCTGGAAATGAACAAACGCCCAGAAAATCAAAAAATATTGCGTATATTATGGCGATCTTAACAGCGAATACAAAAGAATTTTAAAGGAACATAATCTGAAAATTTCAGATTAATTGGTGGAGTCTTAGCGGAGATATTTGAAAAATCTCGATCTGTCCCGGCTTTTAATTTGCCCCGGCCCGGGTTTGCCTACCCATTTTACCAACACTCCTTTGTCACTTCTCTGGAACATTATTCTAAGCAGAATTATCCCGATTCATATATTCTAAGAATCTTGTGTGAATTGTTTACGAGGAAATTCTAACTGTCACATTAACAAGGATGAACACTCTTGACTCTGCTTCGGATTCCCCAGTGATAATTGTATCGAGTGATGAAAGAGCTGACGGCGACATTTTAATGTATGATTGGCTTGGACCATTGGAATGAAGGTTAGAATATTTTTATTACTTAAAATTTACACTACTGATTACATGACAGTGACATACATTGATGTTATTAGAAATACACAGACACACCGATATATTATCTGTTTTACAGTTCAGACGCTCTCTGTTTGCCTTGTAAATCCCCACAGTTTTATATTTTATTTTTTTTAAATTTGAGGATGTAATTTCAACAGTCCTACTATCTATCATAGTGATCATACTCTATAATTCAAACTGCACTTAATGTTACAGAATATATTCAACTAATTATATATTGACAGTGTGACTGTAAGGGTGAGGGCAGATACTTATTTAGTTTTAATTTAGGTTGTGCTTGTCAAGCCGCATTTGACATTTGGTGCATCCATGCTCAGTGTTCACACTGAGAGTTTATTCAAATGTTTAATTCGAATGAATTCACTGCTCGTTAAATTACTTCCCATTAGCTCCATGTGAACATGAGTAAGGATAGCTAATTCAAATTAAATAGAAATGAATTTTGAATGTAGCTTTAACATGTTAAAGAAGCTAAGCACTGTGAGTCCAAAGTATACTGCGGAAAAATTGTGTGGAGCAATGTGCAAGTCACAATCTTCTTTTGCCAAGGTGTTATCATAAGAGCTCGCATTATGGGCAGGGATTTGTGCTGCTGTCTGGACTCGCTATAAATAGATGTTCTCAAAAAGTCTTAATTATTTAATATCATACTTTACTGACAAAAAAGGACAAATATTGCTCAGTTAAATTGCAAAAGAAATTTGTTTAAAAAAATTGTAATAATAGAAAGTTTGCTTTTTTGTTTGATAAGACTGCTGTAATGGTTTAATGTTTGTTTATTTGCCTTAATCATACATTTTTCAGTCATTTCATGGTGCCACCACTTGGGATGGTATTAGCTGCAAATATAGACTTGTACTCAGCACTTATTGCCTTTAAGAAGTATGAGATCTATTTTGTGCTAACACCTACCGTGACACAGAATCTTGGTTTATGCAGTCTCATAGGAGTAAACTGTCTAAAGCATTTAGCAATGGGATTGGAACCTGCGACGTAAGGTTCAGCTTCTTATTGATACTTTGATTTATAATATTTATTTGAGAATTTCACTCATTCACATACTTAGAGATGTTGATATATATTGTTGAATAGCATCAACTTAGACCTTTACTTAGCTAAGTAAACATGTACTGTGAGGTTTTTAAGGTCTCATTCATTTTATTTGCTAGATGCATGTTAAGGAACATTACTGCATAAATGTTTTTGTCTTAAATTTGAAGCTCTTTACTAATATAGAGATATGTTAGTGTTAAACCTCTTCAAATTAGGGTAGACCTTTACTTTAAACTCAGCAATGTGAGTGTGTTGTGTGAACTTGTGTTAGCGAGACAGTGTGTTGTATGAATTTGTGTTAGCAAGGCAGTGTGTTTTGTGAACTTAATTGTGTTAGCCTGACAGTGGGTTGTGTGAATTCTTGTTAGCTTGACTATGTGTTGCGTAAACTCGTGTTAGCGGGACAGCGTGTTGTGTGAAATCGTGTATAAAGTGTGACAGTGTGTTGTGTAAACGCGTGTTAGCTAGACAGAGTGTTGATTGAACTCGTATTAGCGAGACTTCGTGTTGTGTAAACTCGTGTTAGTGAGACTGCGTGTTGTGTAAACTCGTGTTAGCGAGACTGCGTGTTGTGTAAACTCATGTTAGCGAGACAGCGTGTTGTGTGAACTCTTATTAACGAGACAGCATGTTGTGTGAATTCG